GTCCTTGGGGCTAATCTTACCGCCGGAGATAGCCTTGTACATGGGGGGAGGGCCACAGACGAAAAGCTTGATGTTCTCCTCCTTGGGCTCTGGCAGGACAGTCTTCAGCAGCTCTTTGGTGATGAAGCCCTTGCCACCGGTCCACTCCGCAGGGGGGTTGGTCAGGACGTAGAAGGCACGGAAGCGCTGGGGGTAGGTGTTCTCCAATTCCTGAAGCTCCTTCTTCAGGAGGATATCTTCTTCGCCGTCGTTTCCGAAGACCAGAGTGACCTTGGTCTTGTCCTCGGGGTTCTTGAAGATCTCACGGGTGAGCTGGTACATCGGGGTGATACCAGTACCACCGGCGATCAGGCAGATGTGGTTGTGCTTGTTAGCCTCCCAGGGGTACTTGACAAGAGGTCCCTTGAAGGACAGGCGCTGGTCGATGTTCATGGAGTGCAGGTGCTCAGACATGGGGCCGCCGGGGTAGGCCTTGACGACGAGCTCAAGGTAGCCGGGGATATCTGCTATGTATTAGCAGATGAAAATCAAGTCGGGTCCATGTTAATCCTACCCTCATCACTGGTGGGGGTGTAGGGACGGAGAATGTTCTTCTCAGCACCCTCGGGCTTGAAACGGGTCAACAGAGCAGCTAGATGCCTGTTAGTGATCGATTGGAAATCATTCTCAGAGTCAGTCTACTCACAGGCAACAGGAAGACCAGAGACAGCCTCCTTATCATCGTACTCAAAGCGAAGACGCTTGGTGTTGTGGCTCAGAATCTCAATGTTGGCCAGCTTGAGGTCCACCCAGCCCTCACCGTTGAAGACCTTGGGGCGCTCCTTGGGCTCAGCAGCCGCACTGGTGCTGTAGCGATATATTCCAGCACCGAGACCGGCGAGACCGACACCAACATAGATGGGGGTTAAGTTGGACTTCTTGGGAGCGGCCTCAGCAGAGTATTTGCGCAAGCTCTGATTGAATGGCTGTTAGTATTGTTTCGAAATTGAATCGAGGACCTATTCGAACCTGTTTCAAGGGCTGTGCACAACGGAAAGATTGGCGAGCAAACATGATTGCGATGAATTGGGGGAAATGGAGGTACGTATATGTAGAAACCTTGGAAGGGAGTTCTTGGAAGGTCCCGCGGGCCCCCGGGGCCGGTGAATCGGCTTACATATGCGAACGCGAACGCGGAAACGGACGCCTAGCCAGCTCCCTCCCGACAAAATCTCGAAGTGCAACAAAATTTTCCGGAGGTAATGACTATTTGACCAAAAATTGTCATGATGTCTCAGCCTCTATCCTTCATTCCTGACAGGCCGAAGGAAAGACTCGCAAATATGTTGTGTAGAATGGCAATTGAACATGTGTAAACAGGATAACTTACGGATTTAGTTTATGAATGCCTGATATACAAGGCATCAAGATTCGATCTCGCTGAAGAAACTCCGATATCTGACACTTACTCCGGAGGATATGATCGACCAGTATGTATTTGATATGATATTGTTAATTCCCATGGATCTATATGTATGTAGTTCGTAATGAAATATATGACCAGGAGTAAGCGATTTGCAACAACTATCTTGTGTGCATCCATACGACCGCATTGTGAATGGATCGACTTGAAAGAAATCGGAAGGCCAACAGCCCATTAGTCCAGGTTGATACATCTCTGATAGGATGACGCCTTAGCACCTATCAAATAGGCCTACTCTCCATGTATGCCAATTGTCCTACTGGAACTCGAATAATTCAAGAAACCCGATGATTTTTTTCAAAATAACCTAAGATGCCACCATACGGGGAACTAGAGACATCCAACCATCTCACCCGTGGGGGCGGTGGTTTCCACGCGACCATCTTTCATGCATGCTATGGCCATAAACAGTCATTCATCCACACACTCCAAACCCAACACCCAGAACATCACATTTAAGCAAAGGTAGAGGGGCGAGAGTAGGCGAAGACCTTCTTGCCGACCTTGCCACCGGCGCGGTGGGGCAGAGGGAACTTGAGGTCCTTCTGGAGGAGCTGCTTGATGTAGGGGCGGCGGATGCTGTCGTTGTTCTCGATCTCAACAACCTTGAGGATCTGCAGGGAATAACAATTAGAATATGATTATGGTCGAAAGGTTCGGGTAGCGTAACATACGTGGATGGAACCGAAACGGGAGCGGTGACGGGCAGCCATGTCCTGGTAGAGGGCCTCAACAGCGTCGGTGCGGCTCATCTCACGGAACTCCTTGTACATGTTGTGGGTACCGGAGCGCGAGTCGTAGCGGATCCAGATACCGAAGTTCTTGACCTTGAGGGGGCGCTTCTCCTCGATCTAGACACAAGAAAATGAGCACCATTCTATATCCTCGGATGTTCAATCCCAACATACCACGTTCAGGGAAACGATCTCGCCGTTGGCCTTCTTGAGCTTACGGAGCTGGGCCATGAAGTACCAGAAACGCGACTTGGCCACAACAGTGTTGGGCGCAAAGATGCGCATGCGGTACAGCTTGGGCGTGGGGTTCGCCTCGTTGGGCAGGTGACGCCCGATGACCTGGTACTCAGTAAGACGCCCTGGGAATCCGTCAGCCATTGTTCGTAGTGGATATTCCAATCGCCCAGATGTTCAGTTCGAGAGATTAAACGGTGCGCGACGCAAATGGGCGAGAATTCGAGAAGACCAAGGGTGATTTGTGGATGTTGAAAAATTCGAGATTCAACCATGCGTAGCCCTGATGGACGGTGTTGTGCGTTCCTTCATAAACAATTCCAAGCGACGTCGATTTGCCATTGCGTCCACCTCTTCTGCCATCCCAATGTCGATATTGTCGGGGTCTTTGCGTCTCGAATTTCCTCCAACCATATGCGCGCACCGTTGTCTCGAAAAAAATCCTGAGGTATCGGGAAGGGAATAGAAATCACTCACCCATCTGGAAGAGTTTGAGGTTAGTATAAATCTCCGATAAAAATCGAATGGTAGGTACTCACTGTGATTGTCGCTGTGGTGGATGAGTCGTTAGTGTGCCGTCGATGGAAAATGAGAATTGTGAGGTTCCAATTGTGCTTAGGGTTGCCGCCCTTGCCCTAAGCGAGTGGAGGCATTCCGTTATGCGCTAGTCCCATTCGGTAGTATTGCTGCGCCACTGCTCTTCCGCCACATCTCACCAGCCACATTGCATCGCGTTCCCCACATGTCTTCTCCAAAAGTATGGCGTTCCTCACTTGTTTGTCTTTGTCCGGTCGGATCTCAACCTTGACCCCACCTCGAATGCTTCTTTACAACCCATAACTTGCCAATCAATCTAACCGACGCGCTCTTCCGCCAGAGTGCAGTTCACCATGACTTCTCTCGCGACCGCGTTCAAGAACGCATACCTCAACGGGTCCGGCCCGGAACTAGCTGCAGTGCTCACCCCGATCGCACCGCCTGAAGATCGCAATCGGCTGCGCGACTTCTACCGGTTCTCCAACGTCGAATACATATCCAAAGATCTCAGCTACGCTCTCTTCCACGGGAAAAGTCTGAAATTGCCAAAGGCCGAACAGGCTGCCTGGGTTGACATCTTTGTTGTTTACTGGGAAGCTATAGGCGAAATACTTCAGTGTGAAGATCGCCTTTCGGGTGCTAGCGTCATTACCGTCTTCAATGCCTGGAAAAAGGTCGCCAATGCCCTCATCCGGGGATACTCGGGCTCTGCCGGCATTCCGGCTTGGACATTGCCGTGCTTGTACACAGTCGGGAAGTACTTGCGTACTTTTGCGATCAATGCCGATCTCGAAGCAGCTTCCCAAGGCTCCGCTGGGTTTGGCTTCCAGGATGACATCGCAGCCGATGTTGAGAAGAACGCCAACTTGGAGGAGGCTGCTCGGGTCATTAACCGGATGTTCACTCTGTGCCTGAGTGATAGGTAAGGATATGATTGAATTATTTGAGTTGTTCCATTGCTGACTAGACCTAGAGCACCCCTCGAAGAGTCCCGCAAGTGGGGTATCTACAACATGACCAATCTACTATTCAAGACGTATTTCAAGGTACTAAATGTCGACCTCACTGTCGCCAGCGAAAGGCTAATCTCTTTCTTTTAGATCAACTCCGTCGGCCTTACCAAAAACTTGCTCCGTGCCATTAAAGCCTCGTCGGCCGATCTTCCCCCTCCCGAAGTTTTCCCCAAATCCCACATTGTCACATTCGAATATTACGTTGGAGTCATTCACTTCTTGGATGAGAATTATACAGAGGTATTACCAAGAGCTGTGTTTCTTGGACCATTCTCGCGACTGACTATTTGAAACATAGGCCGAGGAACACCTGACATGGGCTTGGAAGATGTGCCATCGAGACGCTATCAAGAATCGAGAGTGAGTAGCCCTCCAGCTATAGATATATTCCCACTAACCACTGGTAGATTGATTCTTACCTACCTTATTCCCTGTCACCTTGTGACCACACACACTCTTCCTAGCAAGGAGCTTCTTGCGCCATTCCCACGTCTCGAGAAGCTTTTCCGGTCTCTGTCGAACTGCATTCGAAAGGGTGACCTGGTTGGATTTGACCAGGCTATGTCTGACGGCGAGGAAGAATTTGTCAAGAGACGTATCTACCTGCCCTTAGAACGTGGACGTGATATCGCTTTGCGCAACCTGTTCCGCAAAGTTTTCCTCGCTGGTGGTTTCGATGAAGCCAAGGAGGGTCAGTCTCCGGTTCGACGTACCCGTGTCCATGTGAATGAATTCGCGGCAGCTCTCCGTGTGGGTACTTCTACAAGTGGTCGATCACGCGTTGATATTGATGAGGTGGAGTGTTTACTCTCCAACCTCATCTACAAGGTAAGCTGACAAGTATGATCAATCCGTAAGTGCTTACTGACATGTCGCTTTAGGGACTCATGAAAGGATATATTGCACGTGATCGAGGCATCATCGTTTTGAGCAAGGGAGGCAGTGCTTTCCCAGGCACAGGTGTTTAAAGACGCTTTTAGGCGGCAATGCACTGCAACGTATTGAACCCCTTTTCGTCTAATGCCCATCGACAACTCCCTCGGTGATTTGCTAGCATCTTCAAAGCCGTCAGGTATGAATCCGCCTATGACTTACATTCATACAGCTATATCATTCAGCACACCAGAATACCGATCAGGCAACACCACTGCCGAAGAATTTTGGCATCACGCGATACACATTGCACACTAGCAACGTTATACATGGCCATTGCTCGGATCGAAGCCCTAGCTTCGTCGGTGTCATCCAGTCCACGCTTGCCTAATACATGAGAATCAACTGGGGTAGTTGGACTGCATTAGATTTTATCTTTACGAATTTACGAATAATTGTTCCGAGAACTTAATCTTCAAATATGCTCTCCATTCTGTAGATAATGAAACATAGTAGTACACGGGTATAAAACACTATAAAACACTGCCAGCAGCGATATAGAATAGAAACCACGCAATTAGTCAAAAACCAAACAACTTACCACCTAAACCCGGAATCCTGACCATCCCTAACAGTGAGTCGTAACAGCCGAACTGTCAACCGATTGACCAGTATAGTCATCCTAACCGTAACCCAAATTAGCACCTCATCCCATACTCACACCAAGGGAAAGAAACTCACCATATGATTACACAAAGCAACAAAAAGATCAAAAAACAACTTCCCCCCACGCTCCATTTCCGCCTGCATAGTCCCACTACGCATAAAAGTGCCCCTAGATCGCACAATCAGCGCAAGGTAATGCGCCCGCAGTTTCGACTCCGTATCCGGCGTGTTGGCGTACGCGAACCGCGCACTCGCAAGAATCGTACTACACTGGATTCCAGTGTGTAGACCTTGCTTGCGCAGTGCGATACGCTGGAGATGGGGGAGGTTGTATTTTTCTGCTGCGCAGCTGTAGAAGACATACATTAACACATATTCACATTCATAATCACATCCATAACCAAATGAAAGGAATAGAAGAACGAAAACAAGATAATCACTTACTAAATAGCCGTATCCCGCAATATCACCCCCCGCGCCCGATGATGAAACACCGTCGCCGTCGCCTGTCCCAATTCACCACTAGTGCCAGCACCAACGCCCGCATCTGCGTCTTCTAGTTCCCAAGTCTGGGTCCGGCTGTTGTGTCGCAGGCGCGGGTAGTAGTCGCCCTTGTAGAGGTACTCGAGGACGCAGGAGAGGACTTCAGCTTGTTCATCTGGGAGGTCGATGCGCTTGCTTGGGGATTGCTGGGCGAGTCTAGGGCGTGGCGCATTCGGGTTGGGTGTTTGGGCTGTGCAGTGCGCGGCGAAGAAGGGGGATGTGCGGAGGATGGCTTCGTGGGCTGCGAAGAGTCGCTTTTCGGGGCCCACACGGAGCATCACTATCGGGCTTGTTGGGGGTATTCTGTGGGGATGGTTAGTGGTTGGGTTTATGAATTGGTATAGATGATGAGACGATGATGGGATGCAGATAGAGATAGAGATACATCCATGTTGTGGACAGGACTTACGTTACATCTGGGGGTTTATCGAATCTTCGACGCTGCTCGACTGGTCGAGTCTTACTGCCAATCGAGCCAGAGCCCGAACCCGAACTATCTCGCTCTTTGTCTTTGGGTGCCCGGTCTCTGGTTCTCTCGCGAGGAACCCTGCGCGACTGCAGCGTGAAAGCTGAGGCCTTTGCCGCGCGATACCGGCCCGGAATTGGACTCTCTGGAGTTCTTTTGGACAACATTGCTATTATATTATGGGTCTGAATAGGAGACAGGATTGGGGAGAATACAGAGACAGCAGTGGATGGATTCAGGGGGGCAGATGGGGTGCTATTTATAAAAGACAGAAAGGACTGCAAGCTCCCGTTTGTTACAGAGACAAGTCATATCGTACGTTATATTGTATTGGGTGGAGATTACAGGACAGCGCCGGACGGTTTGTATACGGATGATCTGCTGGATAGCTCCAATTAGCCTGCGCAGAGGGGTAGAGCTTGACGAAAGACGCGTCACAATCAGTTTCGAGCGCGTAAAGGGGTTTTTTCGAGTCGCCAAATGGGCGCGAGGTCACGGGCCTCGATTTGGCCAATCAGAGGTCGCCATTGAGACAAGGGGAAATTACGACTTCCTATTTGGGAAATAGATGTGGATTGCGGTGGATTATTGCTTCGCATCGGAGGCAAATTCTGATCTTCTGTTTTTGTTGGAATTGATACGTCCATTGGGCAAGAATATCTTGGAGTGGTGATGTTGTTGATTTACCCCTTGAACTTGGTTACGTTCGAAAGTCAAGTTTGAATAAAACTGCAGTGCTCCGTACAACTTTGATTGAATGAACCTGCATTGCAATGTCGCAACAGAGCCCCTGAACGCCGACGCTAAACGCCCTTGACAAGACCCGGTGTTCCCGAAGTTACCCGTCCCATCGTCACTTGCCATGGAATGGAAAATACCCGGAGATATGGAGACAAAGAAAAAAAAGAAAGAGAAGGAAAGTGACCTACGTTACAGGAATACTTTCCTGGCATCCTTAGGGTGGCTTTCGCTAGGACAATACGGGCATTTGAACCGATTACCCTTGCCCAAGCGTTTCAACGATTCCTGCGCAATGACATGTCCACATGGCATCATCATAGGAGGGTTCTCATCGGTCGCCTGCTCCTTTGACACCGGACAGACAAAGATAGAGTGGAAGAGATATTGGGGAGGAAGGGGTATTTCGACCTGAAGATATGATATAAATATTAGCATTGATTCGTACACAGGGTAGCGGTTTTCTTACCGGAAGCTCGTTGTCGGATGTCCACTCCGTCCGCTTCGACTTCATAATCGTTTGTAGCTTCAATAGCGTCGGCAAAGCGATCGCGCCCGCTGTAGCAGCAATGTACAGCGGCGAGTCCGCCGAAAGGCCCAGCAAAGAACAGAACTCGCGAGTGAAGAAGTGAGCTACGTCATCCCAAGCCGAGCTGTTGTTGAAGAGAGCTGCATATGGCGACCCGCCGAGGTTGGGCGAGTACGCCATTGCTCCGACCAGTTGCTGAACTTCTCTCAAATATCGGGGCACGAACACATGGAACTCCCGCCGCGCATACTCAAGCGCAGCGAGCCATCCACTTGCGGTTCCCTGGCTGTTTGCTCCACCATGGTACAGCCATACATATTGTAGTCGACAAAGCTCGAATTCAAGGTTGCTGCCCCGCGCGTCCAGCGCCTCGCGGTTTTCCCTCGACCATTCGATTGCAGGCAGTAAGTTCCTGTTCTCTTGTAATTGTTGTAGGATATAGTACATTGAGGCGAATTGTTTCCGGATCTCGGTCGAAGGGACTTCGTCCATATCGAGCAAGCTGGCAGGTGGATTGGTCGGTCCATGTCCATTTTGGGAGACTGGATACATTGTCTTCTGCTCGGCAATCTCGGAAAGGAAGGTGGCGGCCACGCCGAACTGGCCTTCACGAAGGAGATGCATGGCGATGGCGCGGTTGATGAAGTTTTCGTGTGTAGAGAGGCCATCTTCGTCGGTTCCAGGCAGTGGTCGATCTTTGAAAAGCTGTGCCCGATGTTAGATTAGTGGCAAGGCATGGATGACCCAGTATTCCCAATACCTTATCTAGAGATTTGGTGTACTTGTTGAGCCCACTGTGAGTCTCTTTCAAGCTGTCATTGATAGAGTCAAAGGAAGATTTGACCGAGTTCTGAAGTGTGGCTAGAACTGCAGAGGCAGAAGATGGATCTATTTGGGGAGAAACCGGTGTCGTCAGTTCAGAACCTAGCAGGTCCACGTTCATAAGTTACTGACCAGCAACGATGGCATCACGGGCAGACTGCAGTGAATCAATAGCAGACTCAACATTCTTGATGCCCTGAGAACCTTCGGTCCTCTTGATGAGTCGGCTGTGTTCTTTCTGCACTACTTCCATTGCAGATGGGGTTCGGTTGACGGGGCTCGGAGGTGACTGGCGAGGTTACCCAGTCTCGCCATGTGGAGAACTTTCAGATAAGAGCTCTTTTATCTCGGCGCCTTCCAAAATGAATAAACCATACAATATATTGAGGCAATAGGAATCTTTCCTTCAAATAGATGCAGCTATAACGAAGATAATACCCAGACGAAACCAGTCGAAATGAAACAGAAAGACAAGCTGTTCCGGGTGATCTTCCACGTGATTCACCCCTCCATCCGGAAAGTGATTGGTAGGTGATTATGGAGCATTAGGCCTAGTACATGGTAGATGAGGGCTCGTCTTTCTTTAATAGGTAGATTTAAGTGAATACATTTCTTCTTGCATCGGAACCATAGCTGTTCTCGTTCTCCTTGTTCTGTTTATCCCATATACCGCCTTCTAAATCTGTTCACACTGGACGTTTTACCACCCAGTACTCGGAATAACTCGGAATAACCCCTTACAGAACTCGGAATAACTTCTCACATCCGGGATAGTGTTTTCCCGCCACAACACGGGATGGCCGGAGTATTGTTAATCCGGGATCCCAGGGGAGGAATATAAATAGCTGGTCCTCCCCCCCGGATCTTCCTCTTCTTTTTCTTTTCTTCTTCATCCTGGTGCACGGGTTTTACACGTATCAGTGAGGAGACATCCGAGATCGTGTTTTTGCTAGTTGAAAACTACCAAATTGACTACTTCAAGTGAGCCTAATCGCACACTTGGGAATTTTTGAAAACATCTTGCCTCAACTCCTTGACTCTTTGCAGTCCTCGAGTTGAATTTGATTCTTCGATGGGAGACTTCCGTCACCCTCAAGTATCTTGAGTCTTTTCACTACTTGTTACCCATGTTGGTGGCGCTTAGAGAAGAGATTACCTTTTAGATGTCTGCCTAGATCGATCCCCTGTGAAGAGTTTTTCCCAAAATGAAGCGTGTCTCGCGCGTTGTCCCGCGCGTCTTCGTGTTATGATTCCTCCATCTTCCCCGGTCTCGTACCACTAAATTTACCACCCACGTTGTTGCCGCCCCAGTGTCCCTTTCCTCATCAATGTCCATGTCCGGTCGGTATTTTCGTGATCATTCCTTCCCTTGGCACTCTTTACTGCCAGCGTCCAAGGTTGTCCTGAACTGCCTTATCAGTCTTTGGAACCTCACCGTATCCACATGATTCTCACAAAAAAGTTCATATTGCCGTGAGTCTCAGCACTGTGCCCCACTGATGCAATATACCTGAGGTCTGAGCTAGAGAATGTCTCAGGGTAACATAACCCCCTTGATCGCGTCACTTACCTTCACTATTTGGCAACTCCAGGCCGGTCCATACAACATACATAGTAGTCGAATACCACGCTATCAAAAGCCTCACTCCTTCATTTCAATGGAGCTCCTCTGATGGCACTACAGTTACTGACGTGTCACTATAATTCCTCTACTAACTGCATTCCCACCGACCAACAAAGCCATCCTGTCTGTCTCTTCTCCGGACCGTGAAGTTTTGTGCGGTCGCAGCAGGTCGCAGCAGGTCCAAACAGCAGACACCTCTTGATGATCATCGAACTCGTGGGACGATCCTGGATTCCATCTCCTACCGACGTCTGTGCCCTCGCATATCCCCCTATGATATACCCGATATCGAAGTGATAGATACTCCTCGCCTATTGGCCTTCAACATCGGCATGGAGTACCTGAAATCATGCTGCAGGTACGGTCGCAGTCAGGGGAGAGGCAGCTGTTCTGTTCTTACACCTAGATTCGAGACCTGCGAAATAGTCATGGGATTTGCGTTTCAGACCCCAGTTTCCTCGAGCCTTGCCAAGGAATAAATATTGGTCGCTTGATGCAACTCTGATACACTACTCCATACAGCTGATAGGTACAATGAGAATACAACCTTTGTTGATGCATGAGAGAATTACTTCCATCTCCACGTCTGGGGTATCGTCCTCCGCACGATGAACATTCTCCTTCGCTTTTCAGACATCGAATATATCCCCAGCCCCGCCCCCCACCAATGATACTGAGTGATATATATCTAACCAGTTTCTCAATTCAATGTTTTATGGAGATTGGTGGATCAACAGTCAGGCATCAGCCAAAACGTGTCAAGTTCATTATCTACCTGCCGAGTTTGAAGAAAGCAATATCAATACTCCCTACATGGGTCTTTGTGCTAATTTTGTAAACCCGCTTCTGTCTTTCGACGTACGAATACGCACTATCTTTCATATACGGATACGAAACATGGGCTTTTTATCCGAAACAACCATCAAGGGGTTGCCAATTCCTTAATAGACCCACATACCATAACTGACTATCGTCATAGGGGCAAGAGAGAAGGGATCGACAGGCACAATCTCTCGCTGCCTGACTCCCAACGTAAGGATCACTTTCTTTCTTTGTCAACTGCTCGAGTAAAGCGATGTGGCTGGTATCCAACTTCACCAGCCCACGCTCTTTGATACTATCGCTATAACAAGACTATGACTGCTGCTCCAAAACACACTCCCTAGCTATCCGCACACCCCCAAAATGTCACCCCCATCCTGGGTCTTTCCGGCCATAGCCGCGTCCACCTGGCTAGGTGAGGTCTCCAATTATCCACGGTCGCATGGGGCAATGATCTAACACTGCATTTAGCAATGCTACTTGCTATGCTAGGACATTGGACTATGATCGGTGAACCGAGATATGGCTTGATGAAGCCTGGTCAGAATATCCCGTGAGCAATTGCCGTCTTTGTCCATCCCCATAATCATGCCAAGATTCTTAACGGTTTTTGAATAGATTCATTTCAGATATCGGAGCCCAGGAATTAAAGCCACTGTTCATGATCGGATCTATTATGACAGTCCTCCTTTTAAACCTCTCTTTCTACAAACATGTTCAAAACAAATCATATATCAGCAAAGCGTGCACGCACGGTTCATTCTTTTTCACAGTCGTCGGGAGCAGCGGCTTGATCATGCTCTCTGTCCTCGATAATATCGCCCACCATTTCGTGCACGATGTCTGCGTGACGATCTTTATGTATGACCCTTGCCAAGACCGATATACGTCTGCGTTACAATGTCCTAACGGTTTCAGTGTGGGGTTCCTACTGAGCGCAGCCTTGATGTGCTTGGATTATATCTACCTCGGAATTGCACATGCTCTGCGGGAGCCTATGCTCATGACAAGTTTCGTTATCAAATCTTCGTTCATCGTTGTTGAGCTTGCCCTCATTATCGTCTTCCGCATCACCGAGCATACCCACTACCAACAGAACAACACGGCAGCTACTCTTGAATGGGGTGAGTAGATATATCGTCTCCACCCCTCCACTGCCCTACATTGTACTAATTTGCTCCACAGTCATCGCCTTTGTCTTCACTGGGTATATTCTTTCTTTGATCGTCGATCTCATGCCGTCCGCACAAAGGAATCTCCACAATCCAAAGGGTTATCAACAACTCGAGATGAGCACGGGCATAGGCACGGGCTTGCTGCCTTAGCCTGTGGCTTGATTGATTCTTTGTTATAGGCGCCTGGCTGTAACTTATAGCGTTGGTTCAGTTCGCGGCCTTTTTTTAAAATGTACATATATATATATTTCCGTGATCGTGAAACGAATACCAAGACTTCCTTCCTTCCTTGTGGCAATTCCTATGTCAAAGTAGACCCAATTGGCTTCCCAAAAAATAGCAACACCCGCTCATTCTTTCCCTTTGGGATTAATTTATTCGATATCAGATAGACCAGCGGAAATAACCTGTCCAAACCCTAGTTCCACTTACCAGTTACCACCCTTACAACCGATACTCGACCTAAAAACAAGGGTAGTTAACTCCGAGGACGGCCTTGGCACTCTCAAAACCCATGAATCATTAGCAGTAGAATCTCGGCAGTAAGATGGTGGATAGGGCTGGAGCTGTGGGGAGGCATACGTACGCACCGACGTATAGCTTTTAACGCCAAGCCTCGCGGCGGAAGACCGAGCAGCAATCCACGCCCAATTCGTGGGCGCCAAGATAATCTGCAGATGCTAATATTGCATTGCAAAGCTTGGCTGTTTATATTGGAATTGACACTGAAGGGCTGAAAAATCGAGTTCAAAGAAAAGCTCTACCTGAACCAAATACGTATTGTACCGAAGGAATCAATCAACAGATCTCAGAAATGCCAATCGATCTACAAAGTAGTGTTTGGTTACGTCTTCATCGATCGATGCTAGTAGCAAGTGGCGGAAGTAGCTTGTCCCAATCATGGGCTCCTGCCACTCCACAGTGGGAGTCGTAAGTGATGCCATCATCCCGATCCAAGACTGGGTTCAGCCCCTAGTATCTGAGCACTAGTGTAGCTTCCTGGTTCGTGACGCCACTCAGTGCTTATAAAGGCAGCTTGGAACCCCTGCATCCTTTTCTTCTCAGAATTATACTCACACTCAAATACCCTCTCAATCTCATCGTTCATCAATCCATTACCTTCCCACTTCCTCATACAAATCATCCATCATGGGTCTCTTCAGCCACCACCACCACCACCACCACGATAAGCACGACGAGCACAAGAACCACGAGGGCGGCCACCAGAACGGTCACCAGCAAGGTCCCGGTGGACCCCAGGGCGGATTCCAGGGACAGCAGGGTGGTCCCCAACACAATGGCGGTCCTGGATTCGGAGGGCCCCAGGGTGAATTCCAGCGACAGCAGCAGGGTGGCCCTGGTGGCTTCGGAGGACCTCAGGGTGGTCCTGGAGGCTTTGGCGGACAGCAGGGTGGACACGGCGGCCATGGCGGCCACGGCGGACCCGGTGGTCCTCAGGGAGGCGTATGTATAGCTCGCTCATTGTCATGAGACTTTTACTGACGTTTCTATAGCACGGTGGACGTTAAATTGTCTAGTGTGGATGCGATTGGAGGTTGATATCCTTGAGCTTTTGCAGGAAATGTTTTGAATTGCTAGACTCATAACATGGCATAGTTTTATAAATGTGAATCATGTCTGCCATCTCGCTGGTCGAGCATTTTGGTGATGGCTTTCGAAAATCGTCTCTTCCTTGATGCCGTAGTTGATCTAGAGGAGTTAGCATGAAGTTTCAAATAGTACTTAGAAGAATACTGAGCTTTTCCTTTCTTGGGAATTTAGCAGAGACATGTCGCAATTTGTGAATGCCGACTATCATCATGTGGTCTTTCTCAAACTGTCTGATCTTCTAGAGCGGACTGGGCAAGAATTAGCAAGGTGGACCTCTGCTCATAAGCAACCAGCAGTCAATTCCATTAACAATTATACCTTGAAGAGATACTATATCTTGTACGGTCACAAGTGGCATAAAATAAGGTGAGATGAGCTGGTGATGTCTCCTGTTGTTGCTGGTAACCACCAGTAACAAAATCCAATCTACCGCTCACGCTCGGGGGACTTGATAGAGATGTGACGAACGATGTTAGCAGGAATCCTTCCTCGGGAGGTCTTTCTGTGGACCCGTCTGCGACAAAATCAAATAAGAAGCGAGATACTGGAACTGTGCTTGCACTTCAGCTGACACTTGAGAGTAAGATGCAGATTAGCCCCAATGCCTTCGAGTCGACATTACTCCATATTGATTCCCAATCTCTACACCAGATCGACAGCTTTATGCGAATCAAAGATGATGGGAGAGCAAGCGGGACACCCGATTGAATGCATCACACATTCTGAATACGATCAATAATATTGTTGAAGAAATTGACAATGGCCCGAACGCTTTCATGAGCCACACGGAGAGCTGGGATGTTTCGTCTTCATATAAGGGGAGACTTAAGCACCCAATGTCCAGCACATCAAATGTTTGAATAGACAGCTTGTTTGGGGGAAAAGACTGTCGCTGTTTGACCAGCTATAATGCTGCCACCAGAATCGTCAATATGTGAGAGCATCATGTGTGTATTTAAATGTAGTGAGCTTGAAACCAAGCACGTTTACTATATACTCTCTTACTAACAGAGACAGACCTAACTAACTATAAATCGTAAGGAGAGCCGATACAGAACCCCATTTGATTGGACCGCCTATTTTACGTTGGCGGGACCGACCAGACAACAACGGTCACATGATCTGTCCGCCGTAAGGTACGGAATGACGTCGCCACTTTTGCACCTTCGGGGGGTTTTACGGTTTTCAAGGCGTTCGCCCGAATTACGTTTGCCTGTCTCCTTTGACTTTAGGCTCATACTATGCCTCAAAACCTGTTGCCTGGATATGTCACAATTGTTTCTACGTGACCAAGAGTGCAGGAGGACTGAAGGAAGGCCGGTACTCCCTTCGCATCTTGAGCTTAGGAGAGGTGACCTGGTTTAGGGTTGAATGATCGGTGCTATTTCCCTTTTTGCTCCCCTTAGCAAAGAAGCCTGGACAGGAGACTAGTCGCCATGCAGGCCAACGCCCCGAGTGTCCCTCCGGTGGATCGCGCCGATTCAATGCCATCGGAGGCTGCCTCCTCCGCAACTGGATCTGAGCGTCCCCCACCGCGAGGCCACCAGCGACTTGTGTTCACAGATGCGGTTGCCCTCCGATACCTCGAAGAAGACCCCTCGACCGATGTGCTCCAGCGACGTGTAACACTAGAAGGCTATGAAATTTATGCCGTTGAGCAATGGGCCTGCTCTCGCGTGCATCCGACATTCATCATCTCGACCTATACCGGTGACCCTTCGCATACAGTGATTGTGGGAGTATTGAGTGTTCCGACCAATGAGGCTACATGGTCACCTCGCTTACGGATGTATTTTGACGCCATGAAGCAATGCCACGCCAGAAAGAAGGAATCACCATTAGGGACGGTCATGGTTACGGATCTGGCCTCATTCCCTTCTGCCCTGAGTCTAATTCCAATACCCGATGGCGATATAAAGAAACACCGGGAGGACTTTATTGTGAATGAAGACTTAAAGAGACTTGGGTGCGCAGGCCGCGCGGGATTGAAGCTTCAATCTCCTTCAGCGGCGACCGAAGCCAAGTTTCACCAGCTGTACCGAACGAGCGAGAGAGTTCCTTTATACAATGCAGTCATGGAATTGGTCAGACAGTGCCAGATTGCCTTGATGGTGTTTGACAAGCTAGCCCCGGAATATGTGGACGGGCTACTTTGTGATGTGACTGAGGCGGCTGTTAGCGACTGGTGGACAGATATCGGGACAGACCTGTACAACATTGAACCAAGCGACAGCAGTCTGGGACCCACCAGCGTGGCTGCGTTGCTGGGCACGTTGCTCGGAGCTCGTAATCGACTGCACGCCTATGGCGCCCCTGTGGGGAAAGACGCATTCGACTTTCCCAACCTAAAAAGAGGAATCGGTGGATTCCAAAAATCTCAAAAGATGAAGCGATCGCGAAGGCTGGACCGACTCACATTGGACCGGTTACACCGCGTGACGGCCAAGGCTGCCAATGCAGAAGGCTGGACCGATGCAGTGAAGTCAACCATGGCAGAGCTTAGTGGACAAGGTGGTGAGATGGTTATGGGTATGGTCCGCGGGCGTGACAAAGGTGGCATTGCCGATATCGAAACACTGGATCTTGACACCTTCGTACAGTGCTGCAATGGCGAGAGAGCAAAGTGGCTGTGGTTGGGTAAACCGCGCAAAAGTGGTGTCGAAGACGGGTTCGCTCGCGGGACTGGATCGGATATGATGTTTACCACCGATGAACAAGGCGGTTATGTCTGGACTAGTCGCAAGAAGCATTCGACAGAGGATATGCATGTCGAGCGAGTAAACTCGGGGCCGGATCACTCTTGGAAAATGCCAGAACCGACTGTTGAAGAAAAGGATCATCGAAAAAAGGGCGTCAGCGGACGAGTTTCAGATGCGCGAGCAGGGCTAGGACGTTTCAAAGATGCAGTCGGACTGCAGGGCCTTCGCCATCACCATCATCCCTCACGAGACGGCCCCGATTTAGCACACGATATTGCATACCGTCCGTCCATCGACAGTGACAACGAGTCACCGTCAACAAAAGCGTCAACAAAAAACCGGACTGACTCTGGGTTCCGGTCAGAAAGAATGATATCAGGCGACATCGAAAAGCTTAACGAGGAGGAAGGCAAGCCGCAGCTGTCGTCAATTCGCGACTCCGGGAGAAAAGCTCCTGAAATCCATATCGAACCTGTACCAGAAGATGAGCCAGAACCGCAAGCTCAAGACTGGCCCATTTCACAGCAGCCTCCAATCATTGAAGAGGATTCCGATATGGAACGCGTCATGTCTCGGTCGACGGCAGCATCAACAGACCGCGAACGTGACCGTGAGAGTTCGATGAGCGGGATGGCTGTCATGGCCCTGCGGCGGTCGCAAAGTTTCGAAGAATTCAAAAGCCTTGAAAGCGAGATTGAACGGCGAGATAACTTCTGCGCACGACACCTGTCGTTCAGCACAGTTGAAGAAGTGATATTCAAATGGGAGCCGCTAGGCGGGAAACCAACCGTCAAAGAAACTGATAACCTAGAGGAGGCCATAGTTCAAGAAGACATGCTTGCCTCAGAAGGGCGCATCTTCAGCTCGCGGATTCAAGAGCTGAACCAGCATACTGTGCCTTGGGTTGAGCGACAAGTGGATTCTGTGGACGGTCTTAATCAACTCCTATATGACCGACACGAACAGCTCAACTCAATCTACCTGGAACGCTTCACCGACTACCAGAGACTGCGCGAACGATCCAGTGACATCCTCATAGATGAAAGTCACCACCTCACCGATGGCGTGAAACGCGTCGAGTTGCTGGGCGCCAAACTGGATTACGAACTACACGTTCTCGAGTCTAAAGTTGAGGACGTGGAAGCCGGCCTGAGCGACTTCGACCGTCACATTGTAAATGTCGAGATGAGAATCAAAGCCCTGCTCAAAGGCGAGGAACAGCACGATCTTTCCTGGACCGCATGGATAGCGCGATCCATGGGGTTCTCGACCTAACAGCCATACTTGTATCATATTTTCTTTTTTTCATTCTCTGTTTTACCCTTATCCACCATATTGTACATAGCCAGAGATAGACCGGCGATCGTGCCTCCCATTTGCGATGGTATAAAAGTGAACCATCATTCAAAACAGGCTCCAATTCCAGTAGGCCGAACCAGTCAAATAGCCTTACATAGAAACAAAGACCACCGAGCTCTCTAGCTTCAAGGCTACCAGAGCTCCTTCCCAAGAAATTTCGTTGTCAACCCGTTTAGAAGCCCATGCCACCCTTGTTGGCATTGGCCTCGCCCTGCATCTTCTCGCTGACCTTGATGTTGACGTCGAAGAACTTGGACACGCAGCGGTCGAGACAGACGGACTCGCCCTTGTTGAGGTCACCTTCGCGGTAATCGGCGGGGATACACTTCTTGGTGCAAGACTCGGTCAAGCTATGATTCGCGACGGGAACAAGTTAGAATGTTTTCGGGATATAGATAGTTCGAAGATGCATTGGAATGGGGTTTCTGCAGCCTTGCTGGTTTCTGAATCGAGATACAGCGCTTGGATATGCTGTAGGTCTTCCAACATACCGGTTGAACATGTCTGAGATCATCTCGACTTCTGTCTCGGCAGCAGCAATCTTCTCTGCCGAGGACATCTTGGGGGCACCGCCGAAGAGGAAAGACATGATGTACGAATAGATGGAATGTAGATGGTAATGAGTAGATATGTGGAGTAGAGCACCAAAGAGTCCAACGTATTCGGAGCACGGGAGGTCGGAGAAGCTTGGGCCACCCGCGTGGAAAAACTCGGTTCTGCCGCTTCTTTTTTTTCTTCTTCTTCTCCTTCTTCTTCTCTCAACAATGTGAGAGCCATTGGCATTTGCTATGCTTTCAATTCGCCCTAGATGGGCTTTATCTGGCTTTGGCCTGCAAAACAGGTAAGATTTGCATTTACTT